GTATATAGTATATGTATATGTATATGTATACACACACACACACACACACATATATATATATATATATATATGTATATATATATATATATGACCATATCTAATATAATTTCCATTGATGGCTATTGCCAGATAAAACAACGCCGATCTAAATCTACATCAAGTCTGAAAAGAAGCCATGAACTCATGTTGGCTAAGAAATACCATACGTACTTCATGTTAACCTTATTCCTAATCGCATATCCGTGCGTGTATACGTATATATATGTATCGCGTCCCCCCAAGCTCTGGGAGGTGTCAGGTACGCTCAAACAACAACCTTAGAGAACAAATCCACGGCCGAATACTCAACCAACGTAACGGCAACAGTGCCGAAGGGGGGTAGTGGTAGTAGCGTCAGTGTCAATGAAGGTGGGTGCATAGCACAAGCTCGCTCTCTTGTTGTGTGTGTGTGGTTTACGTTATAGAAATATACTCATATGCATTGATAAGGTTGGATGTATAGTCAAATGCTGTCATGTGCCGTGCAATTGGGTTCTATTCTACGAGAAAGGGTTCATAAGCATCGATACGATAAGTTGAGGCGCACAGTGTAAGTGTTTGCAACCAGGTTGAGACATACGCATGTCGCGCTACATAAACCCTATGTATGTACAAAGAATTATGTACGATCATGTATTACGATTGTATATGATCGTATATGTATATAGATATAGGTATAGATTCGTGTATAGATGTTCATAGAATATAGATATAAATAAAGATCCATATACTACAGTTTTATATGATCACAAATTATATAGATATACATATGGATTCAAAGATTGCAACTGTATATATATGTATGTCTATTTAGATATAGATGTAGACTCATAGATCACAATTACATATAATCATATATGCATGTATATGACAGATTTACATTCATGTATTCAATAGCCCAGCCATCCCGATGTATAATCTGCCCGATTTTCATGTATCACATTCGTTCTGAAAGAAGCTGCGAGGAGGAAGTTCAGTGTCCCTCGCTCACCGTCAGCGCTGAAAGAAAAAACCGCATCCAGTATGAGATTGAAACCAAACTCTCAGCTACTCAATTTAGTAGACGTCCCTTGCTATACACCACAGGTATGTGCTTGTGAGCGATATACATCACCGATTCCCTCAATATATATATACATATATATATATATGTGTGTGTATATAAGTATATATGTATATGTATATATATATATATATA